CTCCTTCAGGATTCCTTGGTTAGAGTCCTGGAGATCTCTTTCTTATAATGTGATATTTGGGAACAGTTATGAAATGTCAATATTACTGTTTGTATCATTGTCATTTTACAGAAAAAAAAAAAAAAAGAAAAAAAAAAAAGAAGAAATAAAAAAACACCACCAAAAAAAAGCCTTTTTTTTTTTTTTGTTGTCTCCTGCTTAACTGGTTAAGTTATGTTCCTGAAATCAGTGTGAAACAGAAGAGCCTAATCACAACAGAAGATTCTTGAGATTGTCATATAAATGCTAATGGCCCCTAAGTTACTGTTTTACACTTTTCTCATGAGAAATAGATCACTTTTTTCAGCAAAATTCTTTGCTTCTGGACAGAGCACTTGTTATCTTTACTCCTAAGTCTCTGGTCTGGATGTGTAATTGTGGAATCCTCTTGTTGCATTGGAGTAGTAGGAATACATGTAAAAAATGATGAAAGAAAGGGTGTATATTTTGTCTGTTTATTGACTGCTACTTTCTTTATACATGCTTTTGCTGCTTGAATAGAATTCAGAAAGCTGGGGAATAGAGCATTTCAGGTAAATGACTGAGTCTCAAGTAAGTGATTTCACATGCTGGTTGAAAAACTATCTTTATATTAGCCCTTCACTGTGCTAAACCTACAAATCATTCTTGTAAGACCTTTTATTTCTGTTTTTGACCTATCAATTCAAATTCAATGTATCTATTTTAGCTGCAATTTAAAACAAGTTGTCCCACAGTCTGATGAAGACTACTTACAGTGCCAGAAAAGGGCATGTGTCACAACAGCAGTCTGTACATGTACTTCACTGTAACTTATTTGACAGATGACCTTGATGTGAATCTCCACTGGGGGTTGAGGCTGCTTATGTCCATGTTTGGTTCAGGTTGTCTTGTTGCTATTTACTTCAACTAGGGCAAAGGTACATAAATTTTCTAATTTTTGTCTCAATGCTTCTCAGCATTATCCAAAAGGAACAATTTAGCTCATTAAGGAAGGAATCTGAGGCCAGAACTCTTGCTTACTGTGCATTCATTTTCAATATGTTTTACAAACACTCAACATCCAGGTACCTTAAGCTGTACTAAAGCAGAATGACAATGATAAGGTATATAGGGAATGAGGATGCTACTGTATATGGCTTATATCTGGCTGCCTCTCTAAAATACCATCAAGAAAAAAGTTGAATTAATATGCATACAATCTTTGCATCCCACATGTTTCTCACTTCAAAGTAGAACCATGAAATAATTACTCTAATAAATGATAGTTATATAGCCCACCACAGAGAAGTGGGCCAGCTCTTTAAGACATATGTTCCAGCATCCTCTTCTACTTTAGGCAGCACAGGACATTGAGGAATTGAATAATTAAATTCAGCAGAAACATGGAGGGGTACAAATGTGCTATTATGGGGTCACGGACTATGGCTGTGGATCAAGAAGAAGATAATTGAGTTTTCAACATTAAGCAACTGCAACTATTTCATATAAAGAACTATGCGTATTCTCCTTCCTTATTCCTGTCCCTGTTTCCTCCTTGGTTACAGACTGTCAGCACCTAAGTATAAGTGCAAAATAATTTTTGAGTATTTATATGTATACTGAAAACTATAGGACTTAAAGTTAATTTTAAAATGACTCAGCCAATAACTAAGACATTTTTATTTTGAGGGTATGAACAATATAAATAATAGAGAAAGGCAGCTCTTAATTCATTGTTTCATGTCATGAATGTTTTATCTTTTGTATACCTATAACACCTATAAACTGAAGCTTGAGGGCAGCCAAATTAACAATGGTTTTTCATTCAAAAGTAAGTTAAAGTCCTTTGGAGGAAAAAAAAATATTCTTTTCAATATGATAAGCTTTTTTGTTTGTTTTCTTGCTTTTAAAATAATAATAATAATAAATATGGTACTTAAACACTCAAGAAGCTTGAGTTACGTTTTTTTTTTTTTTTTTTTTTCTTAAATTTTAAGTAAATTCTTATTCCTTGCAATCATTATTTATTTATATATATATTTTTTTAAGATGCTATGTGGATGGTGTTACATACCATGATGACAATACTAGAAACACATTCAATGGCTGCTTAAAACTTCATCCAGACAGCAGCTGCAAATGACACATTTCACACTATTGCAAAAGGAATTTTGGAATCAGAGGGGGCTTCATAGAGGGCCACCAACTGGACTAAATGACCTCTTAAAAAACTGCCTTCAGAGCAAAAACCTGTAGCACTTTTTAAGGCTTTGTATGTTGTTGCTAAGGTTTTATTAGATGTAGAAATTCATGCAGTTTTCTTTGTTTCTTAGTGTTTACTCTGTTTCCATTTTGTTGCATACTTGTGGCATGACTCAACAGCTAGAAATAGCCGTATTCTTCTGGGCTTCTAATGCTCTAACATCTTGGCTCTCACAGCAAACGAACTTATTTAGCACCAAGTTGCCCTGCCTACAAAAAACCATTTCTGAATGTTTTGTGAGTTGGAGTTGCATTAATCTGAATGATAAACTCTCCTCAGCCTGGTTAGTGTTATACCTCATTCAATAGACAGTTTAATGGATGATCCACAGCAGTACATTACATTTTTTGAGCTCTGGGAATTACTCTGCACAGCCCAAGATTGGGGACTGAATTTGGTGGCTGAAATCCAAAAGCTTTTTCCTTTTTTTAAGTACCAAACATTGCCTCTTGCCAAATGGGATCATTTTCCCATCTGTTGAAGGGTTTTCTGCCCTTGGTAATGATATTCAGTTTCTCTGGCTCTTTTAGGCTCACACTAGTATAAAACAGAAGTAACAGAAGTTAGCACTGATGGCAGTAAGCAACTGAAGTCAAAAGCATCAGAGAATTAGACTTCTAGGTGTGAAGGACCAGGAGAAGGCCTGTTTGCATCTGGAGTGGCTTAATGTAAGTTCCATTGTCTCCGTCTCCTTTCAGGAAGTGATTTTTCATTTAAAGCAATTGGAAGATCTTTGGCTTTGATGCCTTCTTGACTAACATGCCAGCTGCCTTTGAAAACTTGGGAGAGGAATCTGCCATGATGGTAGCCTTTGAAAGCAGTGTTTATTTCATATCCCTAAGGACTTTTGAGTGAAAATCCCTAGTATTCAATGTAGAGTGTGCCAGGAACAGAGAATTTTATGTCCATTAATATTGCCTAGAGGCACTGCTGTGGCTTGATAGGCCTTGACCTTTCCAGAGTGACAATGTGAGTAAAAGGAGAACTGCCTGCAGACGGGCTGGGCTGGTGACAGCTGAGCTCAGCCAGACACAGCTAGTTGCTCTGGAGGTGGATCAGGATGGACACACCAGTGACATGATGGCATTTGTTGAGCTGCTGAGCTGAATGCGGAACTTGCCACAGTGCACTCTTGAGAAGAATACTTTGTCTTGAGTCCATGGAGTCTGAATTTTCACAAAGCTAGAATATAAATAAAAAATGGCAAATATGTATAAATACAGATACACCTAAATTTAATAGATATATGTTAGTATGTGAAATGTACTGGTCCCAAAGAAATTACTCCAGCAGTTATTCCCTGATAACTGAAAAGTGTATTAGAAATATTTGTGTGGATATTTTTGCCACAATACATTTCAGTACAGCTGTCATAACACTGTGATTTTACTTCCAAAAATACATTTAAAAAAATCCCCTTCATCAGGCAGTGAATGACTTAAAACCAGAAACGACGGTGCGTGGAGTAATATTTCAAAGGAGCATGATATAAAAAATGTTTGGTTATTACTAAGTTAATCAGCACTGTTCTGGAAAGTACCAAAAACTGCATATAACTGTTTCAAAATTCATGGGGATATTTTGAACATTTCCACTGGGTCAAAGCAAAAATAACCATACATCCTTTTTAGGTGATTATATTCAGGAGAGTGGTCTTGCTAGAGTGACTTAACACATCCATTATTGCAATTATAATTTAGCGGTAATTACTCTGTAGAATTCCAGTGTTCTATTATTTCAAATGAGAGCCCAAGAAGAAAGTCAGCTTACAACATCTCTAGGGCCTATGAACTAGGAATGAGTGCTTGTGATTTTATAATTTCCAGACTCGTTACATGTAGTTTTGGATAGGTTATACCCACATTATGTAGGGTAAAGGGCCATCTCTTTGCTGGTTAAAATGAAGAACTGTCATTGACATACCAGACCCAATACATCTAATTAGCATGTTAAATATGTTTGACCCGCACTGGTTAAGATAGATGACTTCCTTACACAAGTTATAAACAGTTGTAGGCATTATGCCAAAACTTAAAAGCAATTTGTGTTTTATGGAAATCTGTTTAAGCTTCCCTTTCAAATTAAAGGAAAAAACAACAATAACAACAACAAAAAAACAGCCAAGCAACCCTCTAATACAACGCATGTCTTCAGTATCAGAATATCAACCTTCTGCAATCAGTGTGTTAACAAATTCATTTTTGCAAACAGCATTCCTTCATAAAGCATGATGACTGTACTTAGAGATAAGGTCTAAACTTCTGTTTACAAAATTGCACAACAGCATAAAAGGCAAATACCCTTTAATTTCCCAATACTAGTTTATTTTCTGGTTTCTAGTTTTCAAATTTGGCCCTATATAGGAAGCAGGGAGACAAATATTAACCATCTAGAAAATGAAAGAAATAATGATTAATGCAAGTGGAGAAGAGCTAAAGCTCTCATGGATCAACGTGAGGACCAAAGCTGCTTGACATTAATGGAAAATTCCTAGTATAATTCAAAGGGCTTTCAGTTCTAACCAATGTATCCTATATTATTTCACAGTGTAATGTTTTATTTTAGTTTAATATATTGGAGAAAAATAAATAAATTACTGTCAGGCAGTGCACCACCTAAGCCAAGTGATAGTACAGGTCTTTGACACTGTTTTTTGGTTAGTGTGGGGGGAATCATTAAAATAGTTTACCAGGAGAAATCTCTGAATGCTATCAATGGATCACAGCTGAGAGATACTTACCTCCCTGCAGCACTCAGCTGCTGACATATTACTTTGAGGCTATAGCCATCTGTGCTATGGAGACCATAAACAAGTGTATGAGTTCAGACAGACCTGGACCCCTTTTTAGGACTGAGAAGATACAAGCATGAGGTAACAAAACCTTTCTTCTTTCTTTATCGTGTTCTCTGCGTGTAATCATCCAGCCAGGAGAAGCCTTAAAATTGTCCATTGAGAGGACAAAAAGCATGTGTTCTGTAGGGGTATAGTACTTTAAGATACCTTTCTGACTCTGACATTAACCAATTTTTGAGCCAAGAAAGAAACAACAACAACAAAAACTCACAAATATCTGTAATTGTTGTCACAATGAGAAATCAGCCTAATACTTAACGTTCATTTCCTTTGTTTTTCCTTGAAGAGCCAGAACCAAGCTAAATAGCTTCACTTCCAACCTTGTGACTTCAAGAGGGTCTGGGGAGGAAGACAGGCTTTTCAGCCTATTACTCTATTTATGGTCTTTTGTCCACACTTAATGGGTCAAAGACAATGGCAAAGATAGCAAGCTCTCCACTACAAGGTCCACAATTTTCCTGTAAGCCTACCCTGGTCCTAGTCTCCATCACTTCCCTCCCTTTCTCTTCTCAGAGACCACAAGAAAATAGACAACTGCAGGAGGAAGAGGAAGGACCCTTCCTACTGTGGAAGTGGGGTAGAGGAATACCATACCCTAAATAAAGGAGAGGGGTAGAAAGAGAAAGAAAAGAGCTATGTCTTTCAGTGATAGTCACCCCAAATCTGACTTCTTTCATTATGCTCTCACCTTCACCTTGTAGGAGGATCTGTTTTGTTATCTTTGAAGACTGCATTTGGCCACCCCAAGAGTGATGTTGATATTATTGTTGTGGCAAAATACAGCCTTGTCTACATGGATAGAGAGATGTAAGACAGCTCTGCAATAGAGATTGATTTCCTAAAAAATACTGAGCTACAACACTTAGAGGGCCTTTAGGTTATCCAAAAATAACTAATCAACTAATCATTTTTTTATTATTTTATTATTTATTTTTAATGTTGATGTGCCTTTGTACAATGATAGATTTCTGGAGATGAATGCTACAGAGTATACTAATGAGACATTTCTTGCAACACTTTCAGTTTGGGTTCAAACCAGAAAGCACAGATCCAAGTTCTACTGCCTTGGGGATTTTTTTCAATGTGAGGTTTGGATCCATCCCACTATAAAGAGCCACTATACATGCAAAATTTTGAGATTGTTGTAGGTTTGGCCTCTATCCACTGTCAAAGTTCAGGAGGTTTTGTCTGAGTATTTTGCTGTGGGCCTATCTCAGTTTTAGTTTTGGAAACAAAAAATACACAAAGGAAAGAAAATCCCCTTGCAAATATGCAATTTACCTGTCATGTGCAGAAGCAATTTCAGGACTCAGCCTTCCAGGTAGTTACTCATGCACTGACACCCATTGTTTTTAGTGGGCTCCGTGTGTGAATAATTATGCACCTGGGAACAACCATTTGCAGGATCAGGCTGTTGCAAAATAATTCACTGATGAAAACTTAAAAGGTAACTGTAACACTTGATTGTATTGGTGTCGACTGTTAACAAACAGAATGTCTGGATGCAAGCTATTGTCACCTTCATTTTAAGATACATTTTAAAGCAGATAGATTTCTCTGTCTTTGATTTCCAGGGCATCTCCTGCACCCCACTTCTAGGAGACACTTTGCAAATGCATGTTAACAAATTCAAATGCTGAAAATGAATTTAACAGTCCTCAGTGCTGGCTGTTCTCACCTCATGAATCCAGAAGCATCTATGAATTTGAAGGATTGATTGGGGGGGATGATCTCATCTCCCAGCTTTACATATTCTCTAGTTTCGCTTTCCCCTGCAACTCATTCCATGCCCTCACAGTTAGCAAGCCAGACTTTCCAGAAAGGGACATGCTACTATAGCTTTTCCCTTGTTTTCCCGTTTTCTCTTGTTTTCCTTTTTTTCCCTTCTTTTCAGGTTTTCTGGTTGTGTTCATCATCACACCATAGGACAACAGTTTTCATCCAAGGATAGTAGTTATTTATCTTGTTTTTAATATTTTATGTACTTTTTATGTGCTCAAAAGCAGAATTTTACAATTCCACAGATCAAACAAATCCCAGGCTTTCTAAAATGATACAATAGAAGCTTCAGCTTCACCAGAACAGCTGTAAATGAGGCTTTAATTGCCACTTTAGGAAAAGGGCTGAAAGTGTCTAGCCAGTGAAAATGCAGTAAATTTGAGAGGTTAGAGTGATAGAGTGCATGCCTGTCTTCCATTGGGTATAACATCTAATGGTAAGAAACATTCCCATGAAACATATTGTATGCAATATGTGACCAAACATGTTTCAACTTACTTTTCATTATCTTTACAATGAGAAATAATACTTCTTCCTTTTGTTATGAAATACTGTGTGGATTAGTGTTGTATATTTTCAGACTCTTTAGTTTTATATATTTTTTTTGTTTCCCAAAAGTGATGGGAGATTTTATTTTCATGAAATGTCTTGTGTTTTTTCAAACATTTTTTACTTGTGAGAAGCTCAAAAAACTTCTTAGGTGTAAGGAACTGATTCTGTAAGTTCAAAACTGTTGTTGGATAAAAGACCTTGATGACAGTTGCATTAAAACATCCTCAAACATCCCTATAACCCAAATTTCATATTCCTATTTCAAAGCATGATTGTCAGAGATTTTTTTAATGGGAGTCCATCAATCCTTATTTCATAGGAACAAAACAACTTCTTTCCTCTTTTTTCTGAATTTTTTCTTGAAAAGAAACACAATATTTTATCAGTAAAAAAAAGAAAAAAAAAAAAAAGTAGGTTATAGAAAAACAGGGGAAAAAAAATAAAGCAAATTACAGCCTGAAATGGTTAAAGATACAAGCCTAAAAGCAGCTGGCAAGAGGGTCAGATACTGGGGTATGCTATTACAGTTTAAATAATAGGTATTACTATTAGCTCAGGCTGTAACTGTTATTCTTATGGGATGTCAAATATGGGATGTTATGGAAATATTTCATTATATAATAAATGGGCTTCTCTGAACGAAATCTCTCAACTTTTTGTGACTGACTCATCAGTTCTTTCTGAAAAATTTGGTTTTGACGTTGCTACAGAGACTGCCAAAAGCTGGACTGACCAGTGCCAACTGTTACAGTATCTATGATATTAATGTATTCCCAAAGGGTATTTGCTTAATTTTAATTTTCACTATACCCCAGTTATGTATTCATTCAGGTAGTCTGTTTTGTGCGCTTAAGGGCAATGCAGTTCAGTAGTTTTTTTTTTTTTTTTTTTTCTTGACTCAAAAGTCAAGATAAATAATTCAAATAAGAAAACAGCTGGAATGTTTGCTGTGTCTTGTTACCTACGTTTAATCATGATCCAACCCTCTGTCCCCTCCCCCCACCCCCAACAAAAACAAAAACCCAACAACTAAACAAAAAAACCCAACCACAGTAACAACAGTTTTATTTAGTGTTAAGACAGTAAGGATGAAAAAAAAAATAAAATTTAAATGCTGATTTTACAACGAATAGAGTATATATTAATATAGAGTATATATTAATAGTCTGTATTCTGCTACATTATGAAAAGCTTATGTGATGGTTTTCTCACTCAGTTTGAAATTGTTTGGATAAGAATAGAAGAAATAGAAATCAGAAGGCCTGTATTACCTCTGAGTGTCCTACAGAAATCTGTCAACATATAACTCAAGCTATCTCTGAGGCCAATGAGCAGGTGCTAACTTCTAATGACTGTCAGTCAAAGAAGGCAGAGTAAAGGGCATAACATTCTGGCTGTGTTGGATCAGTGAAAAAAATAACACTTCATTTCACCGTCTGTCTGTGAGGTTCACTGTCGCAGAACACCAAAACTCTACACAGGTTCAAAGAGAGAGTTGTTAATTCAGGGACGATGAGTCTAGCAAGGGCTATGAAAGAGGAGGATATTGATTCTACCTCAATGACCTCCTTAAAGACATTATTCAAGAGGGATGTCTTGCAGGAAGCATCCCAATATGCTTCTCTTGTTCTTATAATCTCTTCCTACACATATTAAGGACAATATACCTAGTTGTACAAATCTTTAGTCAGACACAATAAAACGATATACTCTTCCATTATAGTGATATACTATCTCTGGAAATCATCAGGGAGAGGAAGGAGTGTTCTTTTTCCCAGCACTACTGATGTGGGCTCATGTGTGCCAGCACATATTTAGGCTAGCGTGAACAGAATCACAGAATTGTAGGGGTTGGAAGGGACCTTGAAAGAACATCAGGTCCGACCCCCCTGACAAAGCAGGTTCCTTAGAGCAGTCTGTCCAGACAGGCCTTGAATATCTCCAGAGAAGGAGACTCCACAACCTCCCTGGGCAGCCTGTTCCAGTGCTCCATCACCCTCACCTTTTGCATGTTGGTGTGGAACTTCCTGTGCTCCATCTTGTGGCCATTACCCCTTGTCCTTTCCCCACAAATCACAGAAAAGAGGTTGGCCAAATCCCTTTGTCTCCCACACCTCAGGTATTTATACACATTGATGAGATCCCCTCTCAGTCTTCTTTTCTGCAGGCTGAACAGACCCAGGTCTCTCAACCTTTCCTCATAGGGAAGATTCTCCAGGCCCCCATAGCCTTTGTGGCCCTCTGCTAGACTCTTTCCAGGAGATCTCCATCTTTTTTGTACCGGGGAGCCCAGAACTGGATGCAGTATTCCAGGTGAGGCTTGACCAGGGCAGAGTAGAGGGGGAGGTTCACCTCCTTTGACTTGTCGGCCACGCTTCTTTTAAAGCACGCCAGGATCCCATTGGCCCTCTTGGCCACAAGGCTCATTGGCCACTGCTGGCTCATGGTCAACCTGTCTTTCACCAGGACCCCCAAGTCCTTGTCCTCAGAGCTCCTCTCCAGCAGGTTGTCCCCCAGCCTGTGGGACGTGTGGTTGTTCCTTCCCAGGTGCAGGACTCTACACTTGCTCTTATTAAACCTCATTTGGTTTCTTCCTGCCCATCTCTCCAGCCAGACCAGGTCTCGCTGAATGGCAGCACTGGAGTGTCAGTTATTCCTCCCAGCTTTGTGTCGTTGGCGTACTTGCT